ACATTCTGTGAAAACAACTTCGAGACTATGACACCTGCTTTACGAGGGTTCCAACATAATGTAAAAATGTCTTCCATGAGATAAAACGTTTTATAGGGGAAAAAATGTGTTCATGTAATGAGGATACTAAGTTGCCGTATATTTGTGTTTTATGCCACTTGTTCTACAGCCACTATAGGAAGGCCACTTTTAGCGTACAGCAATGCATTGCGGGTAAGTGTTAAAAGAGTCTTGTATAGATGCAAAACTAAAGAGAGTTTTGTGACAGTCCTTCTTTAGACTTTATTGAAACATTTGGGTATAGAGACAAAATTCTCTAAGTTGGGGTGTGTTCCAGATGACACTCTAAGGAAGAGGGGTCTCATCAAGACAGTGGTTCCTTCCTATAATGGACTAACATTTGCATGTACAATTCTAATATTTACACTCTCTTCACCATTCCCAAAATAAAAGAATGAGAAATACCATGGAGTATTGCATTATTATGCTTAATAAGTATGGAGGAGTTTAGAATAAAAACCCTCCCATTAGAGATTTCTTTGGCTGAAGCTCAAGGAAGCAAGGTGAAAGTCAGTGTAGAACCCATCTAAGAGGTTTGCCTTGATGTGGCAGGTGGACTTATATCTAATAGCCATTGGAGTTATTAAATAAACTCCATTTATTAAAATATGCATTCGGATTTTGGATAGAGCGCAGGTTACTCTTTTCTTTGGTGTTTACTGTATGTATTGGGGCTGATGTGTACTCTGGTGATTGCTGCCGCTGAGGAGTAGTGGGAGTTGGACCGCAGGACTTATTTTTGTGTATTTGCTTTTGAATCACACAGCCATGTTACAATGCTGCCGCCATACCCTGCGAGTTCAGAACAATACCCCTCTCTGTCTCATTAGAGATTGTTTTGCCTGAAGTTAAAGGAAGCAAGGTGAATGGTTAGTGTAGGATCCAGCGTAGAGGTTTGTCTTGACGTGGCAGGTAGGCTTACATATAGTGGCCATTGGAGTTACTAAATAACCTCCATTTATTTAAATTTACATAGGAATTTGGGAAAGTGCACAGCTGACTGTTTTCTTTGGTTTTTATTGTATGTATGAAAAAAAAGTTTATTTTTTTTTTTCTGTATTATGAAGTATAAAGATGTGTACTATGGCGATTGCTGCCGCCCAGGAGTAGTGGAATTCTGAGCGCAGGACTTATTTCTGTGTATTTGGATTCTGGACGCAGGCTACAGAGTCTCTGATACTCGCATAGAATTTGTGGATCGGTGTTTGTTAGTAAATGGGTTCAAGTGAGTTTTGTGAATGCATGTATGTTGCCTGTAGATTAATGTGCATTGTAAAGTAATACATGTGATTTGTAGATCTATGTATGTATATCCATGGAAGGTGACCAGGACATGCTATCAAAGCTTTTTTGGAGACAGCATTCCCATTTCCTATCTATCTTATCCAATATATTAACAGGTAATTGCTATTCTAAAGTATAGCAGCAGCAGCTATAATTGTATATTATTAAAACTATGTCTGTTTAAAAAAATAACTAATGCCTTGAAATGTTAAAGCAGGTTTTTCTATTGGACTTGTGCATTAAGGCCCCTGATTCCTTTCTCAAAACTTCATGAAGATCTCGATCTCATCTGTATCTCTAGACAAAGAATAATGGATGTTTATATGAGGCAGAAATAAGGACACGGTAACATTTCGTGATGGGAAATGAGTCAGGTGTTAAGTCAAAATCCAGGTGGCAGCTTACCATTTAAATCCTCCAGTGGTTATTGGGTTGGTGGACTTCCAAGCCAGCTTAACAAACACACACAAACACACATATACCCAGGAGAAAGGGTTCACATCAATCTTCGTGAGGAATAGTGAGGCAGAGGCTCAGTAAATATTCTTTAAAAAATAGATTTTATCTTAATTTCAATTAATAGTGGCATTTTCCTGGATCATAATCAGACAGTGCCAGGCACCATTGCTTTATCCATCAAACTAAGCACTTAAATGTTAACGGTGAGAACCTAGGGTGTGTCTTGGGAGTAGATGCAAGTACCTGCCATCCTAGACCTGAGATTAGGAAGTAGACTGCTGTGAATGTTCAGAATATAAATTGCTTGGTAAACTTGCTACAATATCTCTGCCATAAAATACCTTCTGGAACTAAATCTGCTGTACTGCATCTCAGAGCTCAACCTATTCCTAACCTGGTCCCCATGAAAAAACAAAGTATAAAAAAATGGATCCTGTCCTATAGTTAGGATAAAACAAAAAAAATATGTGTTTGTATATATTTTTTGACCCATACAATGAACACATAATTGAAAAAAAAGAGCTTTTCTTTATTACGAAGTATGAAAATGATGTATATTTGCAAACAGTCTGCTCAGTGGGATTAGAAGTACAACATTTACTGGATTCTGCAAGCAAGCACAGTGCAAGATATAAAAATATTAAAAAGTAAGCACAAACGGATTACAGAAGCTGAGTAATTCATTTGTGATGATGATACAGAAGGAAGGAAAAAAAAAACACCAAATACATTTAGTTAATTATGGCCACGGAACAGAAGCTATGTAATTGCTCTTACAGTAACGTTGTAAAGTATAACAGTGTCTTGATTCTCCGAGGCCTTTTAAACAAATTAAAAACTGAATATTGAAATCTGGATAGACACATCTAACCACCAGATTGTTTCTTGTTCCCTAGCAGTTCATCTCTTGATATACTTGTTTTGACTAAATTGAATATTTAATGAAATATCCATGCACGATAAAATTTAACATTAGCTAGATCATATAAAAAGAGGTAAAAATGAAAACTGGGTGAAGGACGGGAGAATTAGGTAATGCAAATAATATACTCAGGCAGCTGTGTCCTTGGTGGGTGTCAGGACGGACCAGTGGCCCAACATGCAGAATTAAGTAAAACACGTAACAAATAAAAACAATAACAATGTATTACTGGGCCTTAGAATGGCCGGAATTAACGTAAGAGAATAAACAGTCATGAGCCGAGGTCAGGAATACAGAAAGGAACAAATACGGAAAGAACAAAGCCAAAGGGTCAGGGATACCAGAAATACAGGAATTCGAGTAAAGCCAAGATCAAAAAACAATAATCAGAATCAGGAATGCGCTCTCGGATAACCAACAGGATGGAAACCACGACAGGGCACTGAACAACTGCAGGTTTGGGTTTAAATAACCCAGTAAATCCTGCTATTGTCTGATTTGGGTCCAATGATCCCAGAACGTGCATGCATGGCGAAAACGTGATACCGCACGCACGTTCACGTCACTATTGACGACATTGTGGGACCCGGCCTCCAATCCACAAGATGCATGAAGGGAGAGACTCTGGGGGTGAGATGAGTAACCCAATGAGGCGCGGACACAGTGTGGTGCCGATCGGTCACTGTGAAAGTGTGATCGTACCGATCTGGTGCGGTTACACTGAGGTGCCGATCAGGCACTGTGACAGTGGGTTGGTAAAGACAGATACATTATATTCTAGTGAAATCAATGCTTGCTCACTCAAATGTTAAAATAAGAATAAACTAATCCATGCCGTCCTGTAATATAGTCCAATATTAGGAAATTTTTTAATTATTAAAAAATCATAATGAGTAAATAAAGAAAAAGCCAACTATATATATATATATATATATATATATATATATATATATATATATATAAATATACTGTATATTCAAGAAAAAAAATCCATAATTTTAGTTAACGTAATCAGATTCAGAATGAATAAACAGGATAGTCCACATACGCAGGGCCGGATTAAGAGCACAGTGGGCCTGGTGCTGACAATTATGATGGGCCTAATTACGGAATCCTATCGACCAAAAACAATAAAACAATCATACCTCCCAAGCGTCATGTATCTGATGGAGATGGTGCTGGAGGGAAACTCATAGGATGCAGCTATAAGAAAACACATACCCTATGCTAATTTCTCTCTAATTTATGCTTTAATCTTTCAAGTAAATCCATAACCGCTAACAGCAGTGTCCAGTGAAGCAGGAAGTCAATGGGTGGGGTAAAAGGGTGGGCCACTGGCGCGAATCACGTGACAAGACCTGCCAAAAGGGGTGAACATGCCCAAAAAGGGGGAATGTTTGTCCAAAGAATTGGAAGGTCAGCCTGGCATGAATGCATGTCAGGCTGCCTGCCAATCCTGCAGGCTGTCCAACTAAGGGCATACTATGCAGGCAGCACCCTAAGCGTGGCAATTCTCTCCTTACCTTCTTACTAGCAGGCAGAAGTTCCTGGTATAGTCTGAGACAGAGAAAAGGTGTCTGTAGTGAGTGTAGAAGAAAGGGGACATGCCACAGTGTTAGAGAGACCAACGTCTGCATTACCTAAACTAACTTTAATGTCAGCCAGTGCACACAAGTTTTGTTCCCATACATCCCTCTTAAGCTTCCAAACTTAAAGGGACACTATAGTCACCAGAACAACTACAGCTTATTGTATTTGTTCTGGTAAGCAGAATCATTCCATTCAGGCTTTTTGCAGAAAACACTGTCTTTTCAGAGAAAATAACTCCACTGGCCGCTCCTTAGATGGCTGCTAGAGGTGCTTCCTGGGGCAGTACTGCCTAGTGTGCAGCACTGCCATTCAGTGTCTCCACCCTCTGCATGCAGACACTGAACTTTCCTCATAGAGATGCATTGATTCAATTTATCTTTATGAGGAGATGCTGATTGGCCAGGGCTATGTTGGACTTGTGCTGGCTCTGCCCCTGATCTGCCTAGTTGACAGTCTCAGCCAATCCTATGGGGAAGTATTGTAATTTGCTCAGACCACCACTTCTGAGCCAGCAGCTGCAGAATTGAATACAAGTAATATTTTACTATATTTAGGGAGGCAAGAAGGGGCCAGGGTGGTGGTTTTAACATAATAGGGTAAGAAATACATGATTGTGTTCCTGACACTATAGTGCTCCTTTAAGCAAGAGTATGTGAAGAGTAGTTAAGGTTGCCACGTTTCTTGGAAAAAAATACCAACCTTAATCATTTGTATAATTAATTAGTTATGCGTGTAAATCACAAGGAGTGAAAATTCTGTAAAATCACCAACAAACTACTCACAGTTTGATTCTGCTGTATAGACGGATTGCTCCCAGTGTCTCCCTGTCTCCCAGTGTCTCAGTCTCGCAAGTCACCCAGTGTCTCAGTGTCCCTATGTATCACAGTGTCAGTGTCCCCATGTCACCCAGTCCCCTAGTCTCCCAGTGTCTGTGTCCCCATTTCTCCCAGTGTCCCAATGTCTCAGTGTGTCCCCATGTCACTAGGATACTGGGGACACTGAGAGACATGGGGACACTGAGAGACCCGGGGACACAGAGACATGGGGACACTGGGAGACATGGGGACACTGAGACATTTAGGGAAACTGGGAGAAATGGGGACACTGAGACACTAGGGACACAGACACTGGGAGACATGGGGACACTGAAACATTTGGGGACACTAAGACACTAGGAGACTAGGGGAAACTGTCTGGGAGACAGATACTTGGGGAGACATGGGGACAGTTGTGGGCATAGACATGGGGACATTGGGACACATGGGGACACTAGGCACACAGAGACATGGGACACAGACACTGGGAGACTTAGGGACACTGAGACACTAGGGACACTGGCTGGGGGACATAGTGTCTCCGTGTCCCAATGTCTCCCAATGTCCCTATGTCTCACAGCGTCCCCATGTGTCTCAGCATCCCCAGGTGTCCCCTAGTGTCTCAGTGTCCCCATGTTTTCCAGTGTCCCCAAGTGTCTGTGTCCCCAGGTCTCACAGTGCCTGTGTCCCCATGTGTCCTAGTGTCTCAGTGTCCCCTAGTGTCTGTGTTCCCATGTGTCCCCTAGTGTCTGTGTCCCCATGTCCCCAAGTGTCTCAGTGTCCCCTAGTGTCTCAGTGTCCCCATGTTTTGCAGTGTCCCCAAGTGTCTCAGTGTTCCCAGGTCTCCCAGTGTCTGTGTCCTAGTGTCTCAGTGTCCCCTAGTGTATGTGTCATCATGTGTCCCCTAGTGTCTGTGTCCCTTTGTGTCTCAGTGTCCCCATGTGTCCCCTAGTGTCTCAGTGTCCCCATGTGTCCCTGCTGCCTTTCCCCCCATCCCTCACTTACCTGAGCTGTAGAGCTGCTGTCTGGACTCTCTGTGCTGTGTAGCTGCTCCCCCACGGATCAGTGAGTAGTAGAGAGATGCAGGGATATTCTGTAACTTCCTATCCCTGCCTCCCTCCACACACAGTGACCCCTACTGGCCGGTGCTGGTATTGCAGAGTAATTTCCATTTATTCAGAGAAAATTACCTGCATTTGTATTGCCGGTATTACTGCAATACCGGCACGGCCAGGCAGCCTCAAAAACCATCTGTGCCAATAAAATACCAGTCAGGAGGCAAACCTAAGAGTAGTGTGTAAAAAAAAATAAATAAATAAATAAATAAAAAAAAATTTTTTTTTTTTAAATGGGCCTATTCCATGGGCCTGGGCCTGGAGCTGCAGCTCCATCAGCCCCTATGTTAATCCGGCCCTGCACATACGTACTGTGTTTTAATTCCGGATCTATTTCAGTTTAACCTCAAATTCTTCTTCATTTTAATTCTTTCTTTTATGAGGTTTTTATGTTGAGGTCACGTTTTGCTGTATTGGCTGGTGATGTTTGTAGAGTAAATTCTCACTGCTGACTGTTAATTAGAGGAATTTGTGGATTTTTGTTTTTTCTTGGGGCTTATGTGCAATGCAGAAGATGGCAACTCAAGGGCATGATTTCATTTCATTGGGAGAATTTTATGGCTGAAATTTATTGACAGGGTGTATTAATGGCTCCCAATAAGCCGTCATTGCTGTTGAATGATCACAACTACATTGGACACTTTATTTCTCAAGAGCACTTTTACCATTACTGGGTCAGTAAAAGAGGACCCTTCATCTTACGTGAAGCAATCAAGGTTTTTATGTAGAAGAGTTATCGACACATTTATAGAACCATCATACTCTTAGCTAATTCAACACTTGGAATGGACTTGAAAAACACTTCTTTAACAATTAATCAATACCCAAAAATAGTGTTTCTGTGTGAGTAGAATGAAAACCACAAACACTACCTCAACGTGATGACCATTACATTCCACGTTAACTAATGATTCCTTGTCAATAAATCAGACCAATTAAAAGACAAATAAGCACTGTAACTAAAATATAACAAAGTGAAAACAGTAACATAACAAATACGTGCAGAAATACACACACCGCAATGTCCACAGAGAACACAATAGGTTAGTGATCTGGCAACCATTAGTAACATTAATGGACTTGGCTGCTTGTAGCCTTCATCATGTGGTATATGCAAAAACATTGCAAAAGTGCCAACCATGTTATCATTAATCTCATAATATCAGTTTATCAATGGAGATTAACAATTAATTAACTACTTAAACCCAGTTTTAAAACAATTACATATTATGAATTTGGAAGCATTACTGGCAGTAAAATGGTTTGTGAATTTTGAAATATCACTACTTTGATAGCGTCCGAAAGTCAGAGATAGCTATCGATCTATTGCGAACACTGGACTATAATCTATCCAACTGAAACGTAATGATTACTTATTAAAGACACTTACCTTATCTTAACAGTTAAGAGATGTGAGATGGAGGTAAGTGTTATTTATTTTATTGCGGAGAAGGGGAGACATATTTAGTTAAGAGCACAACTGACCAAGTAAGTGGCACCCCCATGGTCACCTTGGACAACTGGCAGCACAGTATTCTGGTCTGGGGTCCTAGTACCTTCTATCCACAGTTTATGTAACTGGGAAAATCACAGAGAACCAGAGCATTGGCATTCCCCAATAAATATCCCAAATCATTTCATCCAAGGAAAACCTAAGTCAACCACTATACACACATATATTATCCACAAATTACCCCATTCCAAGTAATGAACTGTTGAATCCTGAAATCAATAGTACCGTTTAATAGATTTTAGCCACTTAGGCAGAGTACTGAGATAGTCTCCACTCAGACAGACATCACTATATCTGTAATAATGTTATACTTACTCATTGAGCAGCCCTATATCAAGCTCATCTGCCAGGAAAGATCATAATCATAAACTAGAAAGTTACAATTTCTGGGGAAATTGTGTGAAGTGTTCTTGCCTCCACCAGTAGTCTACAACTGGAGTGGGCGGAGTAACTGTTCATCATTTATAGAGCACATTCAATTGCAACGTTGTTGCACAGTTACATTAAACCATACATTTATAAAAACATTAGCAGGTGTTCAAAAGGCCCTGTCTATGACATCACTTGCTGCTGCAGCCTGACACAGGTCAGAGTATTTTGGCGGTTGCCATCTTCAAACGGTCGTATTTTAAAAACTATAAATCCTACAGCGAATAGCTTTATATTGTGAGAATCACAAGACCCAGACCTACATTTTGATGCATAGTATGTCTCTGAAGTATTAAAAATGAAGGCACAGTCGCAGTTTAGAAATTGCACTTCAAATTTGAGCTTTGCAGAATGAAGTTTCAATGAATGTCAATGGACGGTGTTAGTTGCAAACAAATGATTATATTGTGAAAACTATCAGGACTATAGCTTAGCCGTTGACATGTTTAGTGGCAGCAGGGATAGCTGAACGTTTTGATATAAGATTTGTGTAGGTGGGCCTGAAAATAAGGGAGTGGTGGCAGTTTAGAAATCATGTCCTGATTTTCAGCTTTTGCCAGCTCCCACTCTAGCTTTGCCATTCATTCCTATGGGACAAATTGCGCCACAAGAACGACGATATTCCGTGAACCATTCGGCGAAACGTTCCACAAAGTAATAGCAATCCGATGGGGAACAATCTGCACGTTTTGGTAAATTTTTGTCTATGTAGTGTAAAAACTGTGGGAGGAGTTAGGGTGGCAAATTTGGCTATAATAAGAATAATAATATATATGTGAGATAACAATAAGTGGTCTTGCTATGCAAGAACACTTAATGACAGTTGCTGAACAACCAGAAATCTCATTTCTATACCTAGGGACCTGTTACATGGGAACTTGTTACCTTTGAACTTGTTACCAGTGCACTTATTACCTGAGAACTTGTTACTTGGGAACTTGTTGGGTTTACTTAAGTCTCACTAGTAACCTTATGGCCTCAGAGCTGAATTGTTCAGAAATCACAAATCATGTATGAGCAATGGAGATCTTGTTAAAGGGGGTGTGGGCTCAATATTCTGAATTATGCCTTTGTCGCATATGAATTGATGGGAAAACTGATGATTGATGGCTAAGGGACAGTCCAGCAACCACAATGGAAAAGTTCCTCTCCCACGCCAGCCTGGATCCTGTATAGGTTCCACAAACAAGTCCTGGTGTGCTGGAAAGAATACTTCTCTGTGTTATCCACAATGTAAAATTGCAGAACAGCCGTGCAGACTTGTCTATAACCGGTTTCACCTCTGAAGACTTTGTCAAGGAGTTCTACACAGTGTTGTATTCTCCCCAGGACACCAAGGCTTCTCTGTGGAACCTACACAGGATCTGGACCTGTATATTGATGGAGGAGGAAGTTTTCCATTGCGGTTGCTGAAGGGGGTCTGTTGGGTCGTACTGCTCAGCTAGCCTTGTTTCTGTCTTTCAGAAGTTACGTTTCAAAAGTGCGAAGTATATATAATTTACTGGTGTTTGTGTGATTCAAACTATATATTCTTTGTATTTGGTTCAAGCAAATGAAAGTTTATAGAATGTTTATATATAGAGCTGCTTTATATTGGATAGTATACCAGCTCAGTACCATGATGGTATGTCTTCATCCTTTCTTTATTGGGGTGTTTTATTCACAAATTGTGATTATAAGCTTTTATATATCACTAGATATTACAGCCATCCCACGACATCTTGTTACATGGTTTTCTATTAGAACAACATTTTTTACTTGGGTTTAGACAAATATTCTTTTTTTTTAGTCGTTGTGAGAACAGGAGAATTAAGAATTATCCCTTTGAAAATTATTGTAGAGAATAGGATTAGCATAAACCTTTAAAAAAATAAGTGTAGTCCAACATTAAGGAGAAAAAAAAAAGTTGAATTAAGCATTGTTCCAGCCAAAATTTCTAAATCCCATCAAAGGGGAAATAAGAAAAAGCTTGATCATTAGTTAAAATGCTTTTATCGAGTGCATGCTGTCGCAGATCCCAATAACGATTTGCACAGCCGAATCCCTGGTTAACATTGATATTCTCTGCAGATAAAGTACATCTGACAAAGCGGACGCCTTTTTCATCCTGCTTTTATATATATTTTTCAAACAATAAATGACTGTTCTCTTGTACAAAACACTTGTACTAAAGCCAAGTCAATAACATTTCTTTTTCATGGTTTCTTTTTAATTCATCGGCTTAAGGACTTTTTTTTAGCTGTAGCTTTTTTTATTATTATCTTGTTTAATCTTTATTGGCATTTACTCGTCCTATACGTTTAAGAAAATACAGGATAATGACAACTCGGGGTTTACTTACTAGAAACTGAATTGCAGTTGGTACCTGAAAATAAGCAAACATTTAAGTTAACATTTCTAAACTACGCCGCAGTTTAGTTAAAGTTTTTTTCGAAACAGCTATTGCTCCTTAAAAGAACACTCCAGGCACCATAACCACTACGTGTGCTGAGGGGACTCACACCACTTCCTGCCTTCACTACAGCTCAAAAAGAGAAAACCTGGTCATGCAAGGGGGCATCCAAAAATAGCAGAATTTATTTCAGGAACAGATGCAGTAACGATGCAGTTCAGAATCTGAGCATTTTTCACGCCTCATAATCAAGCCTCAAGCTATAAAAACAACTCATAATAGTAATAAAAATAATAATTGTAATAATACATGTTGGTTGGCACAAAAGGCAGAATTGAGCTTTCTCTGTCGCTAACGCAAGACCTGAGGCTCTTGGATGCAGTAGGTTACTGTATATACACAATGAAACTATACTTACATTTAGGACCAATGAAGCCACGAGTTACAAAAGTTTAGACTAGGCCAGAAGACTTGCCCTTTCCTCTTTAATAAACAATTTTATTTTTACCATTATTATTATTTTATAAAGTGCCATGAATTC